AGCTCCATGAATATATAGGGACAGAGGGAGTAGCCCTGCACCAGAGCTCTGGGGGAGGACAAACTTGACCATTTATGGCACAGCAGGAAGGCTGCTGGGACAAGAGCACAGGAAGTGAGGTGGAGGGAGGCAGGAGAGGAAATTGGGAAATCAGAAAGACCAAGACCATTTCAGTTTTATGGGCAGTGGTAAGAAATTTGCATCTTATCTTGAGAGTGATAGAAATCCATTGGAGAGTGTTGAGATGGGAAATGACATAATATATTGTTAAACAATCTCTCTAGATGCCACATGGAATAAAGTTGGGAGTAGGAGTAAAAGAGGGGGAGATGGGATCATTAGGAGGTTGTTGCAGTAGGGTGGGTAGAGGTGATGGTGGGTGTTAGCTGGGGAGTGAGTGAGAAGGGGTAGAAGGGATCAGATCTACTTACCCAAGCTAAACCGTATGTCAGTGTACCACTCATCAGGGTATTCTGCACAGTAAATCAGGTAGTAGCCTTGAAGGAATCCATTTCCCATGCAGAAGACAAAGCCTTTGAAAAGGATGAAAACTGGGAGCGGCCTCCCTCTGGTGAGCCATGAGTAAACAAATGTCCTGGGAGGTATGGGGAGGGGGGAGGAGATTAGGAGCTATTGTTAAAGAAGAGAAATGTCAAACAATGAGAGGAAAAGGTTTCAAACCAATAACCACATCAAATATATATTCTAAAACAATTTTCACTTACATTAGCGCAACAAAAGAACATTACTATCTGGTTCTAGGGCAATAATTTATGCTATAAGTTGTCCTATTTCTCTAAAATCCATACTACCCACCATTTAGTACCTTGAAAGGTAAAGATCATCCCCATCTAGTAGTTAATAAATTAAATTTTGTGAGCCCAAGATTACAGATCAGATTTCTATAAATCTATAAGTGAAATATACTCTATACTGGGAGAAAAGTCAAGCCTGGTTTACTCCAAAACAGTGGAACGGCATTTTGATAGCAGCCACTTGATTATACAGCTTTCCATAATGTCTCTCTGATCTAATTAATTATTGATATTATCATATTCTCCAGAAAGTAAACTAGAGTCCCTTGAGAAAAGAGAGAGAAGAGACCTCTCTGACTATTAGGAATTATGACTCTAGAGGAATCCAAGATAAAGAGCTTAAAAAATATAAATACCCTCAAAAAATACTTATCCAACATTTAATGCTAAGTACTAAACCACAAACTATATCCTCTTTGTAATTGTTCTTCTCTTAAGGTGTAATATAACAGTCATACCTATGTATTAATTCCTTTTCTGGATCCTTGGTTCTGCTCCATTGATCTATTTATTACCATTATCACACTGTTTTAATAATTATAGTTTTAAAATATGTCCTAATCCTGGGTGGGTGGGACTGTTCCTACATCATTATGCTTCTTGAAAGATTTTCAACTTACTTTTGATTACTTATTCGTGTGAACTTTAAAATTAACTTGTGGGACATCCAGAAAATCCCCTCCCCCCAAATTTTAGAAATATTCTTGAATTTAAAATTAATTAAGAGGGTTAAAATGTCAGAAGGAGGACTTCCAGAGTTCACCCTCCACAAAGAGAAAACAAAATGGCAAAAAACACAATTGTCAGAATCAACTTTTTCAGAACAGCTAACTCTCAGTAAGGGCCTAGTACAATGCAAACACCAGGACAAAAGCAAGCTCTGTGATGTTTTAGTTTATCCTCATCCCATGTACCACTCCCTAGCTCTGTGCAGCCTTGAAAAATAATAGCCCACATTCCATTCCCAGGACAGGAGGGCAGACACAGATGGCTCCTTTAAAGCTTCATCACCTCAGTATACAATATATCCATGTAACAAAATTCCACTTGTACTCCCTGAATCTCCAAGGATTTTTAAAACATTTTTTTGAATTTCAGAATATTAGAGGGTATTCTTGTTTTGTTTACATACTTTGAGTCAAAGTTATAAGTGTGCCCTTCCCCCAGATAGTGTGCACTGTACCCAATAGGTGCCCCCCCACTTGATCTTCATTGAGATTTACTTCTACATGTATACCTAAGTGTTGATTGATTACTTCAAATTTGGTATTGAGTATGTGTGTTTTTTTCTCCATTTTTGTCATGTTTCACTTAGAAAAATGGTCTCCAGCTCCATCCAGGTTGTCACAAAAGACACTAAATCACCATTTTTTATGGCTAAATAGTACTCCTTAGTACACATATATCACTTTTGTTAATCCATTCATGTATCGGTGGACACTTGGGTTGTTTCCATATCTTTGTGATTGTGAATTGTGCTGCTAGAAACATTCAAGGGCAGGTGTCCTCTTTATAAAATGACATTTTTTCCTTTGGCTATATACCCAGATTGATCAAATGGTAGGGCTACTTTAAATTCTTTGGGGTATCTCCATATAATTTTCCATAGAGGAAAACCAGTCCCTCCAGCAGTGTATAAGAGTTACTTTCTCTCCACATCCATGACAGCATCTGTCACTGGGGACTTTTTGATACAAGCCATTCTCATTGAAGTTAGGTAATATCTAACTGTGGTTTTGATTAGCATTTCCCTAATGATTAGAGACAGTGAGTATTTTTTCATGAGTTTGTTGGCCATTAGTCTATCTTCCTTTGAAAAGTTTCCATTCATGTCTTTTGTTTACTTTTTGATAGGGTTGTTTAGTTGTTTCTTGCTGATTTTCTTGAGTTCTTTGTAGATTCTGGTTATCAGTCCTTTATGAGATGTTTAGCATTCAAATATTTTCTCCCATTCAGTGGGTTGCCTATTTGCTCGACTGTATCCTTGGTGGTGTAGAAGCTTTTTAATTTGGTCCGGTCTGATTTATTTGTTTTATTGTTGCTATGATTGCTTTGGGGTCTTCTTCATGAAATCTTTGTCTAGGGCAATACCTATAAGAGTTTTTCCAACATTTTCTTTTAGGATTCTTATAGTTTCCTGCCTTAGGTTTAAGTCTTTTATCCTTTGTGAGTGGTGAGAGGTGTTTCAGTGTTTTACATGTGGCTATCCAGTTTTCTTAGTACCTTTACTGAATAACAATTCTTTTCCTTGGTGTATGTTTTTATCTGCTTTGTCAAAAATCAGTTGGGAATATAAGGATGGTTTCACCTCTGGGTTGTCAGTTGATCCACAGGTCTCTATTTTTGTGTCAGTACCATACTGTTTTGGTTACTATAGCCTTGTAGTATAGCTTAAATTCTGATAAAGTGATGTCTCTTGCTTTGTTCTTATAACATAAGTTGCGCTGGCTATTTGGTTCCATGTGGAGCACATAACTGTTTTTTAAGTCTTGTTACCAAAGAGAATTCATTACTTTACTTGCCTGATGGTTCCTTGCACGATCCCACTCAGAAGCCTTATTTTTATTTCAGTTCACTCAATTTACACAATGTTGAAAGTTTATAGGGAGGGGGAAGTTATTATTGTTTTAACAGCATGGTGCTCTACGGTGACAGGTAGATGATAGAAGGATGGATGGAGATAGATACATACATAAATAGGTAGGTAGGTAGATAGATAGATAGATAGATAGATAGATAACAGCATGGCAGGGCAAATAAGAGATCAACTAAAAACCATAAAAAAAAAAAAAACCCTGGAAGAATGAGATGACCATAGGAGCTTTGAAAGGCTCAGATATGTTCCTTAGGATCTGCATGTATAGAGCCCTGCACATGGTCAGAAAAGATCTGAAAGAGTCCTAAGTTCTTACTTTTGACTGACTTTTGGCTCTTCACAAGTAGCAAGTGAGGCTAAAGCAGAGGTGTAAACTACCCAGATACCGGTTTAATGAGTGCCCTGACATGCACACAGAGGCCCTCGGCAAAGCCTGGAAGACATATTGATTCCAATTATTTAAAGAGTAGCCCAATCATTAACTGACCACTAAAATAACTAGGGAACTCAGGGTCCTTAACAATAAAGATACAAACTTTTACAGAATGAGTTGAAAAAAGCCACTAAGCAAACAACTTTTACAATAAGTAGCAACAACAATAAGCCCTGAGAAGATGATCTGATGTTCAGAATTATAACATTATATTATTTGAAATGTTTAGTTTTAGACAAAAATTTCACGGCATGCAATAAGGCAAGAAAGTATAACCTGTACACGGGGGGAGGGTGGAGTAGACAATATCCCTGTGAAGCTCAAGTGTTAGACTTGCTAGACAAAAAAACTTTAAAAGTCATTTTAAATATGTCTAAAGAACTAAAAGAAACCATGTTGAAAGAACTAGAAGAAAGTGTGAGAATGATGTCTTTTCAAATACAGAACATTAATAAAGAGATATAAATTACAAAAAAGGAAACTAATAGAAATCTGTAGTTGAAAAATGCAATGAAATGAAAAATCCATGAGATGGACTTTGCAGTGGATTTGACCAGGCATAAGAAAAAATCAGTGAAATTAAAGTTAGGGTGATTAAGAGTATCCATTTTTAGGATCAGCAAGAAAGAAGAATTAAGAAGAATGAACAAGATAGCAGAAGGCTATGGGACATAGAAGAGAGATAAAAGCCCGGGTAATAAAGAATATTTGAAGATATAATGACCAAATGCTTCCCAAATTTGATGAAAAACATTAATACACAAATGCAAGAAGCTCAGTGAACTCCATATAGATAGACTCATAGAATCCAGGACACATCATAACCAAACTAATAAAAGACAAAGACAGAGAATCTTGAAAGCAGCAAGAAGGAAGCAACTCATCATATACAGACAGCCTCAAAAAATAAACAGTTGATTTCTCATCAGAAATCATTGAGACAAAAGGACATGTAATAGCACATTCAACATGCAGACAGGGAGAAAGAACTGTGAAACAATTAAAAAACACCTAGCAAAAGAATATTCAAAAATGAAAGAAATCAAAAATAGATACACTGGACTTCATCAAAATTAAACATCATGCGTCATAGAACAAAATCAAGAAAATGAATAAGAACTGTACAGAATGGAAGAAAATATTTGCAAATAATATATATGTGATAAGGGTTTATAACCAGAATATACAAAGAAACCCTACAACTCAATAACAAAAAGACAACCTGATTAAAATAGCAAAATATTTGAATAAACATTTCTCAAGAAAAGAGATACCCAAATGCCCAATAAGCACATGAAAAGATAATCAACATCATTAGTGATTATGAAAATGTTGATCAAAACCACAATGAGATACTACTGCACAACTACTAGAGGGGCTATAATTTTTAAAAATAATCAAAAATAACATTATTCATTATATATATTCTTGTCAATAGTCAGCACTATGTGGGACTACAGTTGGTATTCAGCCTCTGTGATAGTTGGGCTCACTTAGAACTTCATTTAAACTTTTTATGTAGTCATAATTCATGTTATGTTTTTAAGCTGGAACACCAATGTCTACGTTTCAAGCTGGTGGACAAATCTACATGGCATATAGCCAGACTACTGTAAACCCCAAGAAAGATATTAGGGTTGAACAGTGATGTGTTTTCTTTTGAAACTGAACATTTTCCTTTATGTTTTCTTAAGAATAAAGTAATTGACTGTGGTTAAAAAAATAATAACAATAACAATTGTTCGTGAGGA